GGAAGAAGGATTTATTGAATTAATTATTTAGTTATGCTATATTAATCAAGAATTCTTCTACAATTCACATTCGTTTATTCGTTTGTATGTTTTAAGATATAGTGCGAGATTCAGTATTAATTGAAAAGTGTGAGGTTAGCTTCATTTTGTTAAATGCTTGAAAATGTCGAAATATTTACGACATGCTTCATTTAGTTTAACAGATAAACACCTGACACCTTTTATCAGATTTTATCAACTTCATTTAATACCGAGATAATAGTGACAGACTAATACTCTAAAATTTATGAAATATTCCAAGAACTAACATGCACAGATGATAAATTCCTAGCAAAAATTAAAATATTCTTGTACTGGATTTCATGTGTACTTATAAAATAAGAACAACAAGACCACTTTTAGCCGATCAAATCAATCAGTTTAATGACAATAAGTAATTTATGATACATATTTTAGGTAATCATTTTATGCACATACATAAATACAACATGTCTTAAGAAACTTCTTTAAATTTCTGTTGATAGTAAAACATCAATAAATATTACAAGTATTTTATTAAAAAGAATGAAGATGCTAAAACAGTTCTCAAATTCCTTCAAATCAACAGTATAAATTGAAGAAAAAAAAACGAAAAAAAAAAAAAAAAAACGAAAAGATATTTAAAAAAATTCTCACTGTCTGACAGAATTCTGAAATAAGATTAACTAACTGATAATATTTGTTGATAAACTACAGAATTAAAACTAAAATATTTTTGCTAAGTCTTGGTAACAAGGAATTTTTTTCATGAAAAATATCAAATTCGGTTTCTTATATCTTGTTATAAGTTTAGCATGTTGCTTTGAGGAAATACTTGGTTTTTTTAAAGTCTTAACACTACTCGTGGTTTCTGACTCATAAGAATATATATATGGCAATATATGGCAGAAAATAATCAGAAGACTTAAAACATTTGAAATGTTGTATTTCTTGGATGGCAGAAAACTGTTAAATACAAATCTTTTACACGCCTAAAAACGGAAATCTAATGAGGATATGAGCATTTTGGAGAATTAAGCTTTCATCTGATGTGTGAAGAGCTCGGAATTAATTATTTTACATTTTGAGAAAGGTGGTATGCCCTATTAAATAAAATAATATAGCAAAACAGCATTATTATTTAAATTTCGAATAAGTACGGAATCTAGCTTAGCAATACCACTAAATTTCATGCTAATGCTTACAAATGACCCCAAAGCAACAAGTTTAATATAAGTAAATATAACACTTACAAATCATATGTATCAATGTACTTTGTGCTAAAACATTTTCAACAATTCTTTCGAAGCATGGCTGCTTCATACGAATATTTCGTTTTTTATTTACCGAAATTTAAGTTTACTATACACTTCTGATTTTATAAATAATGGATAGGTAACTGATTTAAAAACGATTATTAAAAGTAGCAAAAATCTTTTATTATTATTATTCTTTACGTAAAATTTGGAGAAAATCTGATTTTTAAAAAACATAGAACTTTAAAACAATTATCAGTGATTCATGTTTAGAAAGGTGTTCGACAATTATGGATTATCAAAGATTCATCAGCGTAACTTCAGAATGAATAATTAGCTAAATAGTTAAAACTATTAATATTTTGTATGATGAAAATGTTATTAACAATAGTCTTTCCCTTGAAAAATGACTGGGCTTATCGTTTTATTGTTAGTTGCAAACACTTACTAGATTTGACTGTACGAAATGCCATAACCATTTAGGGAAAAATGGAATTTAGGGAAAAATGGAAAACAACTGCAGATAAAAAAACAAATGATCTCTCTCTCTCTTTTTTTTTTATTCAAAAGAAGCTTCATCAAATACTTCGAAAGTATTTATTGTCCCAGGAAGCTCTTCATTTAATATAATTGACTTTTTATACTATGCACTACATACCTGACCGTCACAGGCTGCAGCTGAATTTAATTGTAGTTTAGTGCAGTATCTACGAAAGAAATTTTATTTTAGCTTCAGCTTATCATACTGCTTCAATTTCCTTGCTAAATTTCTCAATGAAGCAAAATCCAACCAAAATGAAATGCTTTTCCGTTAACATACCGTGCTGGAGCATCTGGCAGTCCAAAATTAGCTTAAGTATAAATTGAAAAAAAAAAGAAGAAGAAGAAGAGAAAGAAAGAATGTTTTATCAATAAAAATTAATTCCATCAATCTAAAATAGTAACGCTGTGAATTTATAAAAGTCTCTTGTGAAATTCATAATATATTTTATAAACTTCTTTTCCTCTTCCGAGATTTCCCAACTAGAAATGTATTTAATTCATAAAAGGTCAGAATTAAACGAATCTTAGAATGATCACTTCATCTCCTTCGTAGGGAGTAGAAATCAGACAGTAGTTGAAATACTAACTGTGAACTGTGATTTTACTAATGCAGAGTAAAGAAAAAAATGTAATGTTAAAAATTAAATCAAAAAAATTTTTAAAAACATAAAATGCATAAATAATTGTCAGCTTAAATGTAATTTAACTAAAATCTTCTCTTCTTTTATAGGCTTCTGAAAAACTTTATTAGTAAATTAATTCAAAGGACTTTTATTTGCGAATTCAACTTATATTGTACGAGGACAAAGTACCTTTACAGAGTTCCAAAACTTTTTTTTTCCTTAAGGTCTGAATCTTCGTTGTTTGAGACATGTAAGCTGAAAATTGGTAAATCAGGTACTATCATGTCTGTCTGCATTTCATACTTGCAAACATAACTAGGAGTATTATAAAACATTTCTGTTGATTTTTGCACAATGATAATAGACAAAACACCATATTTTAGTCTAAACACCATATTTTAGTTTTATAACTGAGCACAAACTATTGTATTCGTAATCAATAAGAAAAGGATTATTAATCAATGTTATGTAATAAATAAATACAGCTGTTAGCTATCAAATTTTTAAAAATTGAGAAAATATACAATTCTTATGTTTGTGGATTCTTATTTAGTTAATACTCCAAGTTATTTCAAATTGATAACAGCTATTTCGTGACTAGGATTATCACCAACTAAATATCTTCAAGGTGCTATAATTATAACCAAACATACTGAATACATATGAAAGGAATATGTTCGCCTTGAACTAATTCTGTGAATCAACATTGTATTGCACTACATCTGAGTTTCGATCAGAATAAATTTATTGCTATGAATTTCCTATTAAGTAGTCATCTTTTATACAGACACACAAACAAATAGTTGCACTTAATAATGATTTACAAAGTAACTTTTATTAATGCGAATAACTGATGAACACTAGCGTTTCCGTAAGAATTAAATATCTAATGAAGATATGATACTTTGCCAGACTTGTACATATGAAGAATGAGTAAATGAGTGAATGAATTTGAACATCATATAAAACAGTAAAGATTATACAACAGGAAAAATTACATAATATTCTCATGAACCAGTAGAAACGAAATACAAGCAAAGGAGCTGTTTCTAAATCTTGACATCATTAGAAGATAGGTAATCATTTCATATGTTTTGTAAATGCAAGTCTTTGCCCCTGTCATGTTTTATACAATCAAGAAAAAGAGCCAGAGACCGACACAAACATTTTCTTCCTGTTCCTTCTCTCATGTATAGAATTTCTCCTCGCTTTTCCGTTAGTTTTAATATATATTATTATATGTATGTATATAAATAGGATAATATCTAATACATTTTCACAACAGTTTGGCTTGTTTCAGTACTATATAACGCAACTATATAATGGCAATAGATCTACAAATTCAACATTAAAACTAGGAAGGATCAACAACTTCAAGAACGTGTCGGTTCTCCAGATTAACAAGTCCCAGGTAAATATTACATATAATAGAAGTACAGTTTCATCAATAAATGAATGAGAATATCAATAAAAAGGATGTCTAAAACACGATTTCATCTGCCTTCCAACACACGAGTTTCTCTTTCTGAGCGTATTTATTTTTCTATATGTATGCCGCTATGAACACTAACCCTTTATAGCAGGGTTTCTTAAACTTTCTTCAGTCGTGACCCCTTTTTATAACTGAGATTTATTCGCGACCCGCAGGACCCTATAATATTTACAAAAATTTTGTGGGACCCCATAAATATTGCGCAAATCCGACACACGCGTGAGTGAAGCTGTTAATTTTTTCATTTGTACTGTTTTATACTTTTGCAGTTTTATGTCATTAACTTTAATTTCTAATTTTAAGACATAGAACAATGTGAATTTTAAATAAGTAACAGACGAAAGACATAGAACAATGTGAAATTTTAAATAAGTTGTAGCGTCGCGCGTCTCCAACTTGCACGCAACCAAGAGGTGACTGTGAAAACTGGATAAAAGACAGAGTCTTGTTAAGGGTTTAAGTCCCTTTTTATTCAACGTAATAAATTACAAGTGCGTGCTCTTGACGCTCACAAACTGCGCCAACTCGGCTGTCAAATAAAAATAATAACCTGAAAAGAAACTAAAGACAAGACTCTAACTACGAGGCTCTCTAAAAGTAACTAACTCACCGCGTTTTTACAATACCGCTGCTAATTCAGCAAACTTGAAGATCACTTGAACGATTAACACTACTTCCAGGCAAGCACACAGGCCGAAACGCGGGGTTCTTCAATTTTCTGGCCAACTACCCTCCGCGCTCGTGAAGTAAGAATATCACACCTCGAACTCGTTCCTTTCTATTTAAATCAGAATACTTCCGCTGATAATTTGAATCCTTGCGCGTTCTACTAAAATTTACATACTCTGGCATTGGCAGTTCCAGGGGAAAGTAAGGCTTGACAGAAAAGATAGTTTAAACTTAAAATAAATGTTAGTTAAAATAAATATAAACCCTACAAAGTAACAGATGAAATGACAGCGTCAAGTGCCAAGCAAGGAAAATGAACGTTTATATTATAAGGAGAAGACGTCGAAACATTTTCGTTTTTTTCTTTGTCTTATCTTTATCTATTTTCAGATACGTTATGTAAAAATATTTGGTACTTGTAAAATTATTATAACAAGTTAAAGAAATATCAGAACTGCTAAAATTTTTGTCGACCCCCTGCTGCAGGTGCCGCGACCCACAGTTTAAGAAACTCTGCTCTACAGCATAATGCTATATGTAACTAATGCAGTGAACCAACCCTAATGAGTAATATCAGGATCTTACTTTCACTTGTGACTTGCATAAAAGCATGTCTCTTTGCTGCATTATTTTATCAGATTACTTCTGATATTTGAACAATTATGTAAAATATGATAGCTTGCTTGTGTAGGTAGGACGTATAATTCAAAAGAATTTGCTGTTTAAATGTTATTTGATAACAATGACAGAAAATATTATATATATTTTATACTAGATTTTATAGAAATGGTACAATACAGTATGATTACGTACAATATTAGTGGCGCATTAAGAAAGGAAGTCTGGGGCCTCAGATGGCACTTTTAAGGGATGGACATTCTTGGACTACTTCCTAATAGAAAAATTTATTTGCGGAGTTTTATGTTCTCTTCAAATACAGTTTTATTTTCTTTTTAGAAATATAATGTTTCTCACGATCACCGTTATGTTGATAGGTAGAAATAGACTTCCATCTAATAATAATTAAGGGTGGAATTTTCCTTCGGTCCCGGACGGTACCTGACATTTAATATGCCATTGCAAGCTGCAGAAATAGTATTCATAAGGAACGTGACTTTAGCTTACATAGGTATAATAATCAAGAATATATATAATTTTTAGAAGCTTTGTCGAAGAAAGAAACCTTCTTGCATGTATGGATGTATTAATGTATTTACAGACAAACATGTTTTAAGATAAAAACTCTTTGCTATGCTAAGATTTTATACATTCAATAAGTAAAGTACGAAAACCTATGAAAACGAGTTTTCAGTGGCAGTCTCCCGTTATATTTTTCGAATACTTTACATAAATTGGATATGTAACAACCCAAGAACGGAATTATATTACACAATTTCTTACCTAATTATAAATTATTAATAACTGCATTATAAAAGCACTACAAAATGCTATTGGGTTGTTGGAATTGAAATGGCAGTTTCCTTGTCAAGGACACTTTGTATCGTTCTGGTGCATTTTATACAGTATATGAATTTTATACTTCCTACAATACGGAAGGTTAAGGATGATACAATAGTACTACTAGATATCCTTTACTAACAGTAGAAAGTACGATCAAGCTAAACTGAGACGTGAATATAAGTCAAATGCTTGTGAATTTCCTTTACGATTTTTAACTTAAATATTCTATAGTTAAAATATCAAAAAGCATAACACAGTAACTGTTGAGGAGAAAACTAATCAAATAATATACGCTTTCATTTGAATTAGCTGATACGAGTCTTTAAATGAAACCCGTGGCCACATTTTTTGCCCATTGGATCCTATTGAATTCAGAGTTATCACTGAATCGGATCCAAATAAACTGGAGCAAAAATGCTCTAATCAACTAAGCTCCACATTTTACAGCCATTGGCAAGGTAAAACATTTTGATCAATAATTGCTACATTGGATAACGCAAGGCGTATCATACTCTATTCAGAAGATTGTTCCCTTCAGAATAGAAGAAAATGAAAAGGATTTACGCAGTGTGTTGTGACGGATGTTGGGAAGCGGATCCTATATGTTAATCATACACGTTCAGTTGAACTGATCACGCGTTTCGCGATATCAACCGGCTGTGAAACCTGCCATACCTTGTTTAATCCCCTGCCTATTCATTTTTATTATCACATTTTCTATGTATGGATAATTTTCTACCCAAGACAGCCTTCAACAACAATTTAGCATTTACCAATTTGAATATTTCACGATAGTTATAATATCAAAATTTTTCCAAATTGTCAAGAAAGATATTCTTAGAATTTCCCACATTTATTGAAGAATTTGTAGATGTAACTAGCAATTATTTTCATTAATCAATTACGTTGTATTTTCTCACAGGATTTTATTTCCGCGTGTGAAAAATACTGGTCATTTCAAGTGAATCAACCCAAAGCATTAACTTAACAAAATCAAAAGATATGCTTAAAATTTGTAAAATTCACTGCTAGTAATTTTTATAGAATACTTTCCATCCAATTAAGTATTAAATAAATTACCATAACATCGCCGAATACAGTTAATTGCTAATCGATATTTAAAGCGTAATAAAACTATAGTATTTTAGTTAAAATGAATAAGAAGTATACTATCATAAAGAACACCATCAATTTAAAAGGAAAGCCCATTATAATACTGAATTTTAAAGGAAATGTTATAAACTAAATTAAAAGCATTTTAGGCATTTTCTTAGTTCTTAGTACTTCATTCTATGAGATTTCATATCCTAACTACAGTCAAGCAAAACATATCCTATAAACTTCTGTATATGGGGGGGGGAACTGATCTTAACACAACAGGTCATAAATTAAATCACAGCAGAGTACAGCATTTCAGTCTTCCATCAAAGTTTGGCACGACAGAGTCGCATTGAGATTACGACAACACTTTTAATACACAGTGTATGAATGAATTATAGAAGTTAAACAATGCAACATGTAAAATTTCATTTCCTGGGCTTTTAACTTCCATTTAACAATAAATAATATCGAATGAAAAGTTATGACTCTAATGTCGCAAGACACTTTCGTGATTGTCTAGATATTCATCCATGTTTATTTCTACTTTGAAATATTAGCTTTGTTTCTTATGCACATAAGTAGAGCTAGGAGGAAGAATTCTTACTACTGGATCACTTCATTTGTCAACACCAGGATATTTTGTACATTTAGAAAGTAATGATTCGAAGATTCCGGTTTAATTGATGGAAAATAAACAGGTCTAAACAGTAGTTTCTCTAAATATTCGGGCAGGAGAGCCTGGGTGCTTCACATGTATAAAACGGCTGAATGAAGTGGTGTTTTTTGAAGCTGGGAAAGTCACACTGATACGAGGAAGGTTTAGATGCTTTTTACCTGTGGCGGTGGAAGGGACGCAAGATTCTTCATGTGTGATTTCTATGAAAAGAAATAATAATTAGGAATTTATAATTTATTAAAAAAATTATATGGACATTAAAAAGACTAGTGCAAATGCATCGTATAAACACAGTTAGAAAATGCACACACAATTAGACACGAGTATAAAATATAGATAAATTAATAATCTAATCATATATACACAATTAGAAAAATAATAAATATATCATAATAAAACATTTAACAACGATTTATAAATTAAAAACACAAACAACTTGCTCAATGAAGCATTTGTCAGGCAAATGTTTGCTGAATGAAATTACAGTCCACCATGAAATCTTGAATGAACTTTCAATTAAAGCTTCATTCAGTGGAAACATATTCCATGTTTTTAAAAACTACAGCTACCAATGGTTAGCTTACACTTATTTCTACTCAGATGAAAGTCGTCGTTTCCAGGGATCAGTAGTCTTAATGTTAACTGCTTGTATAATCTGAGAAAGCCAGTCTTTGAACAAATCGCGGTTTTTTATAATGTTTGGGCAAAGCTGCAGAAAATAAACCTCTCACAATATACAAAGGACGCTAAAACACTTATAAACAGCATTTTAAGTATGTATGCCAAATTAAATAAGTTGATAAATTCCATTTTGAATCAAAAGTTAAAGTATTGAGATAATGCTATAGCATAAGCTTCCTTCACGCTTTATGGCATAACTAAATAATACTATCCTCTTTGTCGTATTACATAGATTTAACTTAACTTAAGTGTTGTATGTTTTCCATCATGTTATCAATAAAAAAAACTAATTGAAAAACAGAACATTCTAAAAATTTTCAATTGTGTCAAAAATTCGTGTATTTTGAAAGTTCAGTATCATTAATCAGCTGAAATGAGAAGTTAAGGGACAACTTCTACATCATAGAGAAGAAAACGTAAGATGATATAAAACTAAAATTTATCCCGTAATCAAATCTAACACAACAATACAAAACAAAACGGTTAAAAATAAATGAAATTGTAAAAGTAGTAGGGAATCATAAATGAAAGGCATGCACAAATTTTTGGAAAGAAATATTTTACGTGTGTGATAATATGGATGGGCAAACAAGTCAGTTCTCATTACAACGGTAAGATCTCGGCTAAAACATTTTTGTGCAGTAGTAATAAAAAAGTAGCACACATTTATGACTTCCAAAATGTCAGATCTCTGAATGTGTCTAAAAAAAGTCAATTAACGAGTGTCAAAAGAAGAACAATTTAAAATTATAGTTGTTTATTAAGAAAGAAAATTTCTTTGCTTCTAAATAGGAAAAAACTGAGGATCGAAATGCAAGTTTACAGAAAAGAGCTCTAACACGATTTCGGAGCCGAAAATATGTCATTATAGAGCAAATAACAACGCAAATAATTAAGGAAAACACGTTTACCGAGAACACCATAAAGGATTAATTTATGGTGCATATTGCAAAATATGTTATAATATATTATTTTGCATTATTATTTATATTTCGCATATTGAAAAATATGCACTATAAATTGTGTTTGGGGGCATATTGCAAAATGCAAACTTTTATTTATTTATATCGAGAGAAAAAAAAAAGAACTCATAAAATGATGCAGAAAATAAAATCGGGGTCGTGTTTAATTTTATTAATAGTTATTTTATTTTGTAAACCTTTCCTGAATTCTCTTACTTCCCCTTTCCACATCAAGATATGATCGATTCTGTTGCAAAACATGGTGTTTACAGTTGAACATTCTTCAAGAACGCATGCATTCAAAGGAGAGCTCAGTATTCCTTAACACTTTGTTTAACGTGAATGTTATTCTTTCTACGCGACAAGTTATTTTCTTCAACTGTTTAAATGATCTCAATAATGAGTGAAAAATAAATAAGATAATTTTCTAAAATCCAAGCAGGTTAATTACCTATGGCAAAGAAGGCGAGGCACTCGGTTTCGAAGTATTATCGTAAAAAAAAATTGCAGGACATTATATTAATATAATTTCATATTTTCTATTTAAAGTGGCCTACTATTTCCTCTTCCATCTTTAGAAATGAAAGATAATTTACAAGCTGGGTAGACAATATCGCAGAATGTACTTTATATATAACATACACATGAATCATTCTACAATGAAGAAACGTTACTGTTCAGGTTACTTGCTTACTCACGGTGGACATCATATTAACAGATACACTAGTACAGATGTCTGGTGTTTAAATTACTTTGTTTACTCTTATCTTTTATAGATGCTGTATGTCTATATTCCTATACATACATTTAAGAATAGTAGTAGGTAGGAACATTGCAGCAACCTTGCTAAAACGTTACCAGGAGCTGTAGCTCCACGAAATGTTGTCACATAGTACTAGATAAACAATAAGAAATTTTGCCTGGTAAAAACTGGAAAAACTGTATAAGCGCGATAAAACTGAACTGCCAAATTTTTAGTGCTGGAAGACTTGCTAATGCACGAAAAAATTAATTAATCTGACCGTTGTGTAATGTGAAAAGTTAACTCACATAAAAAATAGATGGACGGAAAAAAAAATATATATATATATATATAAGGAAGTTACAAAAAACATGGATTATAAATGTCAATATATAAAATGCCTATACATAAAAAATTAAAATTAAAAATTTGCCAATATATAATATGCCTATACATATTAATTAAAATCAAAATTTAAAAAAAATATAATAAAGACACAAAAAGCATCAAAAACTAGCTACAAAAACAATAATTAAATAGCGGAAAAATGTAAATTAGCCCACTCGTACTTACATATATTTAAAAAATTAAATTTAATTTTAAACTTTAAAATTAAAATCATACTCAGATACACCTAACTAGAACCAAAACGAAAGTCTTCGTTAAAAATATTGTAAGAAATTGCTACATAAAACTGATATAACTTTGTAAAAAATAATTAAAGAATTTTGCTGTAAAATTAAAAACAAAATTATAATCGAGAATAATTTAAAAAATAATCAAATACAGCAAAGTAAAATAAAAACGAAACTCGATCCAAACAGCGCAAATAACTACTACAGCAGCTTTCAGCGCGTGATTTTGCTTTCCAGGTTTTTAGAATTTATCCTTTACTATTTTTATTTCTTATGCTATAAACTATATCTACGAATGCAGTTAAGAGAATATACAAATTTAAAAAAAGTATGAATTTTTCCTAAATGCGCATTAAGCTGCAATAATTAAAATGTAGTTCAAACGTAAATGCAAGTTTTCTAAGCAAGTAGAATAGAAGTATTTAAATGCAATAAATTTCCCTTATGATAAGCTAATGAAACGATAGATTAAGACGCAAATTAAGAGGAATTTCCTTTATGTGAAATGTAAAAGGGGGAGATAAAAATATATGTGAAAGAACCAAAACAATCCGCAAATTCCCTTTTTTCGTTCCTTTTTCAATTTATGATTTAATAGGCATTTCTAAATCTTTGACGCAATTTAATCTTTTATTGCATTTGCTCTGGATGATAGAAATCCATTATATTAAATACTTACTATTTCTGCTTATTAACAAGCTTGCATTTACATTTGAAAAAAATATATATATATATAGCGTATATATGCATATAAAAATTAATTTCAGTCAAAAATAATAAATTTTAGAACCTAAACAACAACAACAAAAAAAAAAAAAAAAAAAAAAAAAAAAGGACAAAGAAATGAAATATAAATCAGTATAATCCCTAAACCTCCCAATAAAAGCGTAAAAATATTTTTACTTTTAAAGTTACTTGCTACCTTTAGGAAAATGTTGTTTCATTGATTTAAAATTGAAAAAAATGAAATTGCGTTATTAGTTGGAAATCTTGATGATCTATGACTAATGAAAAAAAAAAAAAAACTTAAATACAATCAGAGTTTTTTATCGTTCACTCACCTGCTACACTTCCCGCTTTACAGCTGCTACTTTGTAGGGCTTCCCTTAGTTTATTTAACCTATTATTCAAATTTTTATTATCTTTCCTGAGCTCCTCAACTTTCCCTCGCATTTTCTCGCCAGGATGTAAATTTAGAGTTAAGTGAAGTGAGTATTTAAACGGGTGAATCTTGGAGTTTAATTCAGAGCGTGCTTTTGCTAGCCAGTGCAGGTTTCGTTTCTGACCTTGCTCGTACGCTGATACGCCTGTCAGCCGCTTGAATAATTATCACGCCTGTTAAGTTGTCAAGTCAATCTAGTTTAGCCGTAAGTGCTACTCAAGCAGTAATCTTTTAGATTTGGGTTTATTGTGTTACAAATTCTTAGTTTCCACCGCAAGTTGTCGGTGTTATTGTAAAGCACGAGGTACGTATCTTTCTGTTCACAGTTGAAATTAATAAAGGGTTATTTTCATGCTAGAATATAAATAACGATAATATTTTATATTACTTGAAGAGTTAAAATTCATTTCAACTATTCTTTGCTTAATTAATCGTGGGACAAATTATATTTGATAAAAGGATTCAGAACATCGAAATTCTAGTTCTAGTTTCAATTTAATGATAAAAAAAAAATGGTTTGTAACATTTACCATAACTTCATTTCTTTTCTGAAACACACAATTGACAGTTGTTGGTAAGCAATCGCCCACGCTGCAAGTTTCTCCTCCAAGTTTTAATTCCACGTAGGCTAACGACGTAAACTCAAGCATATGACTATTATTTGAAATGAATAAAATGAAGCTTGAAATTTACATCATTCACAGTTTCGTTCTAAAGCGTACAGTAACACGCTGTACTTATTTCTAAGATGTAGTCATATTTTTGACTCACGGGTACAAACTCAACGACAGGATGAGTCTGTGCAAAACTATGCAGAGTGAAACATTGATGGCATTTTCATTTGTATCAGATTCGTTGAAATTTGTCTCAATAATGAGTCAATGTTTTGCTCTCTGACGAGAATCAATGCAATCAATAATGAGATTGTAGCAATCGATATTCATCTAATGTGAATAGTTAAAGCATATCAGCAGAGAAATATACAAGAAAGGTATCGTTGCAGTGGTGTTGGTGGATG